TGCCCTAAAAGGTTGGCCCAACCCGGGCCCTTCCCCCGGGGGGGGGGGGCGCGGCTTGGCCGTGCACGACCGACGGGGGGGACGGGGGGTTCCGTGCGGTCGAGGGGGGGAGAGGGGTAGGGGGGTGGCGGTCGCATGGGGCGACCCGGCGACGGAGCGGCTGCCTTCAGGTGATAGGACGTTTTGGCGTTTGGCGGATTTTCCAGGGGGGGGGCGGGGGAGCCTCGTGGGGGTCTGGGTGCTTGTGTGGCTTCTTTTTCTTTTTCGTGTGGGTAGGCGGCGATACGCAGGCAACCCGAACGAACCTACCGTTTTTCGCAAGGTTTACGCGGGCAAGGTCCAGCAGTGTCATCTGACGGTGTATTGTTCGCCATTCATCCTTGTTCGATCGGTGTTGAAATCTTTCGTACGGGTTTCGTTTCGAGATATGTACCATGTGGTTCGATATCAAAGTATGGACCTTCTGCAGAGGGAGGGAGGGCCCTGTGATAGGCCGACTCGACCCACCTCCCCGGTGCGACCGAATGCGACCTCGGATAGGCAAAAGGTCACAGATATTTTCCACGCAAAGTCTCTGTTCTTCAGTTATAATAACGTTATCCTATTTCGGTGTTGGACTGCGTGGTCAACGGTCCGATGGCTGAGGCTAGCGACGACATGAGCTCATCTCCTCCTCGCCCTTCAAGTCTTGGAAATTGTACTCTACTCCGATGCTCTACTTGCATCGGGTGGTATGCATACTACAAGAAGAACGATAGCCCGGAGAGGGAGGGGGAGAGGGAGGAAGAGGGAGAGAGAGAGAAAAAACAGAGACAGACGAGACAGAGACAGACCTCCGGAGAAGGAGATGTAGAGATAGATATATACGGAAGGGAGAAATGGGCAATTGATTTCCAAGTGGACATCATGCTCCGAGTTCCCTACCCACTCGCTGGTAAAGCCATACAGACCGGTGTGTGTGCGCGTGTGTTTGACTGTCTCGTCGTCTCTAGGCCGTGCCTTACTGGTGACCCCCTCCGCCGCCCCCCCTCCTTTTTGTTTTCGGCAAACAGCCAACAAACCAAGAGCTGTGATCTCGTTCACGATACCGGCCAGACAGCAGATTCCATACAATGATACTTCTACAATTCAAGTGCTGCAAACGCTATGTCGACCCCCCCTCCCGCTTCTTACCCTTACCCCCCCGCCCCCCGCCCCCCCTGGGCGCAGGCGAAGAACACGCCGTTAGGTGACGGGAAGGGAGACGACCTCTTGCGCCTCAAGAACGTAGCGGCGGCCGTGCCTGAAGAGGACCGGGTCGATGTACGTGCCTTCGTGTCCGGGAGTGTCTGTCAGTGTCTCTTGTCGCTCTTAACAATGTTGAATGTTGTGTAGTTCTCCGCATATTCTTGTGTTCCGGTTTTGTACCGGCCGCCATTGATCTCCAATCTCGATTGGCACCGGGAAACAAGTTTCTTGTCATTCCTATCGAGACAGCAATCTCGGCGCCTTGAGTTCAGAACGGGCCCGGAGACAGGGAACGTCAAGATCGGGTCGAGGCTCAGGTTCTTTTCCACCGCCACTGTCGAGCACAGGTCATTATATAGAGTTTAGTGTAGGCACCGCCACTGTCGAGCACAGGTTGTTAGATAGAGTTTAGTGTGGGCACCGCCACTGTCGAGCACAGGTTGTTAGATAGAGTTTAGTGTGGGCACCGCCACTGTCGAGCACAGGTTGTTAGATAGAGTTTAGTGTAGGCACCGCCACTGTCGAGCACAGGTCATTATATAGAGTTTAGTGTAGGCACCGCCACTGTCGTGCACAGGTTGTTATATAGAGTTTAGTGTAGGCTCCAACCGGTTGAGCTATGCTTCTTAACCCTATTTTCTTGTTCTCCTCTGTCTCTTAGCGAAATGTTTCTTAACTGCGGGCCCGTTCTGTATGCTCTTCTTCGGGGGGAACCCGCGTGGCAAGGTGACGGTGTTTTTTTCGCGACTTCATTGTATGTACCCTTTGCCCGTGTGTCAATGTTTGCTCTCGCCAGGCGTCCCGTTAAGAGGACAGTCTTGTTTGGCGGTCTCTGTTCTGCTGGCCCTTTTCGACTGCTAGAAGGTCGCAGGCTTCACTTTTGATGACCACCTCTTCGAATCTGATTACTGCTCCTTTGGATGGCTGTTGAGATTGAGTTGGCGTGATGTCAGCGCTTGGATCGTCGTGGTTGTTGTTGGCTGGCAGGACGAGGGGTAGAATGTGGCGTTTTTATCTTCCTTGTTTTTTTGCTCTCGCGAAGAAGACCCTAGTGGGCCCTCCCCCGCCCTCCCGAGGGCTCCTATATGTGGGGACCCCAAAGTTATTGACCATCACGTTGCCAGAATGACGTGGAGTTGCTGTTCTTGTTTGTGTGGACAACCATGTTTATCGAATATATTCCCTGCCCGTCTCCCTTTGGTTCGTCGGACTTTTTTCCCGTATGTCTTCTCGGATTCATTTTGTACAGCAACGCACAGCCCTCCCCCCTCCCTCAGTTTCATTTTTTGCCGCTGTCTAACGTTTGCCCGTTCCTATCTTCCTGCCCCCCCCCCCCCCGGTGTGTCTTGCCGATGTATGATGGCGACACTGGTGGGCATAACGATGATCTGCTGCCTCGGTAACCAGGACCATAGCGATGAGGCGATGAGAAGGCTCATGTTCGACATGGATCCGGACTCGAAGGATAAAGGCCCCATGTACTTTGTGAGTGTGTGTTCCCGGTGCATGTGTACTTGTGCAAGCCTTGCCTTTGTTCCAAGCGCCTTCGGGGCTCTGGTTTGCAGACAGCACCAGGGATTTTTTACTGTATGACGCCTGGCCGACTGCTTCGTTCTCCGCTGATCGGCTTCCACTTGTTCCCCGCGTACAGAATTGCGAAGGTAGGTGGACTCACGTCGTGGCTCTGTTTGGGCTCCTCTTTTTTTGCTCCTGGAAATGTGGTTCTGGACGCACTACCTTCTTGACAGCCTCGCGCGTGTGCATTTCGTACGTGTCTTGTGCCTGTCTCTCGCTCTCTCTGTGTCTCTCTGTGTCTCTCTTTCTCTCCTCTCTCTCGCTTTCTCCCTGTTTCCCTCTGTCTTTGTTTCTCTGATTCCCCGCTTCTCTTTCTCTCTCTGTCTCTCTCTCTCCGTGTGTCTGGTTATTTCTCTGTTTTTCTATCTGCCTGTCTGTCTGCCAATCCCTCTCTCTCCGCCAGGGGGACGCGGGTATGTACACGGACGAGGTGAACCACGTCAAGTACCCCGAGGAGGTGCGATTCCCTCAGTCCTACCTCGCCTTTTGCGTGGACCGCGAGGAGACCGAGGACGAGGACAAAAACTACGTCACGTGGGGCGTCAGGGCCAAGGCGCACTGGGAACATGTGAAGTGGGCCAGGTGCGCGTTTATGCAATTCTGTAACCGCTATTTTTTTTAAATAGAAGTGGGTCAGGTGCGCGTTTGTCGAAAGTCCTGCAACGGCTTTTATTTAGCAGGAGCGGGTCAGGTACACGTTTGTCGAAAGTTCTGTAACGGCTTTTTTGAAGCAATGCGACCCAGGCTTGATTGTATAGGGGGGAGTTGTCGTCGAGGCGTCGGCCGGGTGCGGGGGGAGGAGACCGATCACTGTGATTGGCGGGGGTTTGGCTGACTGGCGAGGATTGCTACGGGGGGAGGATTGATTGGCAGGCCGGCGTGGCGGCGGTTGCGGCGGCGGCGGTTTGAGTGGTTGCTGGAGGGGGAGGACGGGGCATCAACCACGTACTTACCAGTCGAGAATAACATTGGGATAAATTATTAGGAAAGAAATGTTGATGCTTTGGGCTGCCCGAGGCTCATTCGGTTGGGACACTTGTGAGAACCGGCCTACGTTCACGCCTGAGACTCGTTCTGTTGTGACGGGGGCCCGAAGGGTAGGCACCTCTGCACAACCAGCAGCGATGCCAACCAAATCCCAGCAGATGTTGGTCTGCCCCCCTCCCCCAAGCCTTCTACATCCTCCAACAACAAGCA